GTACCTGCAGCTAGTACCAACTATTAATATTTTTAATGCTATGTACTAGTAGATGCTCAAAAAAAAAAAATTCAATGTTCAAATTAGAAATGTGGTGACTAGTACAATAAAATTTAATGAAAAGAATTGGAATATTCTACAATGAATGACATGGATTCACTGAAGTTGACATAAAAAGCAAATGATGTGAAAATTCTCATTTCATCATAGACCATCTTTCAATGTACAAATAGTATTCTCTGATAATTGTCTGTTCCCACCAGTGGTGTGCTGTCTGTGGAAGCTGTGGAAGTGCTGCTTCCCTTGTATTTTCTAAAATATAAATATATATTGTGTGATTATTTTCATATTTTAACATACTTTGAAATAATTAAAATTAATATTTTATTATAACTGCATTATGTATCTTATTACAAATTTCTATACTACACATGAAAAACAATAATAAGATTGCTATTTTTGAATATAAATTTTTTATGCATATTCCCAATGAAAGTGCTGTATTGTCGAATATGGGGCAGCTTCTACAGCTATTTGAATGGTGTAAAGCAGCCAGATTACAGGCATTCACACATGCACTTTACAGAGCACTAACCTTGCAGTTTAGCTGGTGAATAATACACACCAAAATATCATATAATGCTTCTAATTATTCTATCCAGGGCTGGCACAGCTTCTCTATCATCAAATATCACCACATGCCACTGGTTCCCACTATGTTCTTGTCAAGAAACAAGAACATAGTAGATATGAAAAGTATTAATAATAATATTTTGAAAGGGAAAGGTAAAAATGTAGTTACAAAAATGACATTTTGCAACTGACACTAAATCTGAAATAAGAAGTAAGGAAAAAGTGTAGAAGAACTGTACAAACTATACAAAACCTTTGGAAAATATTATAAATGTTACAATATAATTTCTAAATGTATACAGATACAGTTATATTGTAAGAAAATAATAAATACTAAAAACTGCTTTTTAGTTATTGTTACATTTTTCCTGGAACAGAACTTTATTTTTAGTCACCTTATATGCATGTCGGCAGTAATTTTTTTTTTTTTAAAGTACTGTACATATATATTAAATTTGAGTTAATTATATAATACTTCCAATTTAATATCTATATATATATAAAATTATAAGTCCTGACTGACTGACTCATCATTGCCCAGAGCAAACCGCTGAACCTAAAGAGATGAAATTGGTATACAGTTAGGGTAAGTCATGAATATGCACATTAAGAAGGATTTTTTTGAAATTCTCCCCTGTGGGGGAGAGGGAAAGGATTAAGGCTTAACCTGAAGAACAGCTTCTACTGTACTATTTTAGATGCAATTTTTTGTTTTTAACTGCATTTTAGTAGGGTACACAATGAGACTGCACACTAAGAAGGGATTTTTGGAAATTCCTCCATGAGGAGAGGATTAAGGCTTAAGAAGTCTTAGCCCCAAAAGGCAGTACCACAAACGTGGCTTACAAAAGGTACTGGGGTAACTGAAATTCTATTTCTCTGTAAATATTTATACTTTAGAAATTTTCGGATAATATCATTTATGTTTTGAAAAAAAATAAACTCAGATTTATCATATCTCAGATCCCATGATATTTGAATTTAGGTGCCTTAGCAGTCCATAGTTTGAAACAAACAAAAATCAGTAATTTTACCAAATTAGTAACAACTAATGATTGAGAATCTTAGTGAAGTACTGAGGGAGGGTTATTTCTATCAGATTGCAAAATCTGCATGGGCAAAAGCTAGTTTTATATATAAGTCTTGAACTGAAATTTGAAATAACAAATTCATGAAGTTTCACTCAGTAATCTTATTTTTTAAAACGTTTGGGCTTAAATTTTCATTCTAAACCAATATACAAGTTTTCTAACAGAGAAAAAAAATACATGATCCATAAAAAAAACATCAATGAAGAAAAAATAATTTTCATATTCTTTATGAAGACATTTTCATGCCATGAAAATGAAGTCTTCTGTTAGTTTAAATCCTTGCTATCAAATTATATAAGCCTATAGTCTTCTTTCTGATGTGTAACAAAATCAATGGCTATCTTTTCTTTGCCATCTTATGTGCATTTAATCCATTTTGATAAAATGGATTAAATGCATATAAAATAAATTAAAACTGGATAACAAATTAATATACGTTCAATGCTCAATGTTTTATCTGAAGTGGATGATTACTTTCATAGTGAGAAGAAAGAGACTGGGCAGAGAACAAGGTTACAGAGAAGCCAGTAAATAATGTGTAGTGAAAATATTTAGAGTATAGGGTGTTAGAATCTGTATTATACTTCCATCACAATGCTTTTGGTATCCATTAAGATAAGCTGGAAGGCTCAAACATATAGATTTAATAAAGATATTTCATTTTTCATCTCTAAAAAAAGCAGAAAATATTAAGGTCATTGTAGAGACATATCATTTAATGTATATAAAATTATTACGTAAAGGCTCTATGTCTTCATAAAGTACGTACTTTTCCTTTGTTTAAGGATATTTGGGCAGTTTATTCTCTGTTGTATTCTCAAGTAAACAATACATAAAGTACAGTACAGTATTTTCTGAGGAAACACTCATACTTATTTTTTTTAACCNAAAATTTCTGTGTAAAAATGAATAAATAATTATTTTTCATCAATATTTATGTCTGTAATATTTTCGTACATATTAATTTAATTACAAAAATATTAATTTAGATGCCTTAAAATATCATTGAAAATCTAGTTTAAAGTTTATTCTTGCAAATTTTATTATTAAAAAGCAGAATCTGTTGATTTACTAGTCATATATTTTTAAAATCTATCAATTTTAAATCTAACTTGAATTTCAAATATTGTATTGTTTTCTGTAGCTTGTAGATTGTACAAGTGAGAGGTAAAGTCAAAAGTATTTCAACCTAAAAGATTCCTAGTGCTCTACAAGAATTACTTTTGAAGTTCAATCTCTTCGAAAAAAAAGATTACACAAAGATTCAAAAAGATTGAAAATACAAGTTATACAATTGTATTTTCAATTGTATAACTTGATGACTATTATATAACTAGATAAACTGGAAAACATCAGTAGAAATCAAAAAAGAACCCAGATGAACAAATCTACCTGAACAAAGGGTCTGCACATTCACAGAGGACTCTCTTCAGCAAGTTGCAAAAGCAACAAAAGGCTGAGAAGGAAAGTTTCATTGGCACAAATTTTTACAAAAGTGAACAAAACCAGCCACATTTCTAACCAAAAAGTGAACATAATTCTTGCAAAAAGTTAGAAAGTCTGTAATTTGCACAGAGATCTAACAAGACAAAAGTATCTTACTCTGCTTTATCTAAGTGCTTTAAATGACTGAAAATAGTCGTCTTTAACAGTTCTATAAAAAGAACTGTAAGAAATTCTTAAAGCTTGTTCAAGCCAAATAAAGAGAGAGGAAGCTATTTGGCCAATAGATCAACATTTAGATTTCCAGCAATTCTTTCATGTTCTGGCATCCACAAAAGAAAAACTCCATTATAGAGCAGCCAGTTCAGTGAGATGCAAACGGCACTCCCAGAAAACTGCTAAAAGTGTATTGACAAGGGTTAAGTGCCTTCAAAACTGTCTGACAAGGTACCCTAGGCCACCAAATGAAGGCAGCATAGAATTTAGGTTGAACTACTGACAACCAGAATGGGGCCCAGGATCTCCTTTGTAATGAAAAAGTTAATAAAAATGCTAAATGTAATCAAATTATAAAAGTAATATTAAAAGTAATCAAATTATGGAGTTAAGTATTGACTTAGTAATTTATTTATATTTTCTATAATCCATATTTAAGTATTTAAAGCAAAATTTTATTAAAATATGAAGTAATTTATATTAAATTTTAACTTGGGCATCCTTTACATTGAATCTAGTTACTCTAGTGTGTTGAACCACCGTAGTAAAACTCCAAAATGGAATATAAAATTACAGACCTGATTGTATTTACTGATTTATAAAATTCTATTTAATTATTTCTTACCTGATGATGTTGTGCTTCCAATATTTGAGCCAAAGATGTGCTACATTGACCAATTATAGCATGCTCTCCATCACTTTCATAATCATAACAATATATCTATAAAAATATATATTTGAATTAATAATATTTTAAACTTAATGTCTTTAAATTTCATTGTGAAGAATTGACAAAAGTAGAGATTTTATTTCTATAAATTAAGTATCCTATGCTGTCCTTCAGAACATAATTGATACATGATAATACATTTTAAATAACATGCTCATTTGATCATTACTAAATAATAGAATGTTGTGTGGTCACTATGGAAAATATTTTTATGCTATAGAAGTGACACAATGCAGCTATTTTTTTTTTTTAATTTAATATTTAAATTTAATACAGTAATTTTAAAATTACATTTGTCAAAATATTTAGAAATTCAACTTAAGATAAATTATGCCAGTGATAACTACAACATAAGTAATGTCACTGCAATATAAATGACATTACTAAGCTGAAATTGATGAAAAAACTTTTTATTTTAATAGCTAATAACTAATATTTCCACAAATTAAGCAGCCTATACGTTCTGTCAGAACATAAAAAGAATATAACCAAAATTTCACCTGGAATGGACAAAAATAGCAAAAGTTATAGGGAATTCACAAACACACACATACACAAACAAAGANTGAATTTTATTTAGAATTTGTTTGTCAAATACCTGCTGAAGAGGGACGTACAAGTCCGAAACGCAAATTGTATGTGTCCAGGTAATTGTAAAATAAAACAATTTTAATCTGTGTAACTGTGAGGCTGTAATCTTATACACCAGTGTGATAAGTCCTATTAATAGAAATACACTGATATAGTGATTGAAAGAATAATTTTGATTAAATTAAGGACATAGATTCATATTAATTAACTAGTTGTATCTTGCTTGCTCACCATGTCCAATCACCTGGAACAACCATTCTTCACTGCAGAGACGACCTTTCTTTGTAGGCTACAGCTCTGCACAAATATGTAAACCTGTGGACATTTTAGACTATTTTACATATTTGTGCAGAACTGTAGCCTACAAAGAAAGGTCGTCTCTGCAGTAAAGAATGGTTGTTCCAGGTGATTGGACATGGTGAGCAAGCAAGATACAACTAGTATTTGCAATGCAATTTTTACTTTATTAAATATGTATTAAAGAGTTGGAAGTAGTGAATATGCAAAACTGCATTTGTAATTTTTTATTTTTACGTATAAAACATTAAAAAAACAATCTGTAAAAAAGATAAATGTAGAAGAAACATATAATTTCAGAATCTGCAATATGTTCTATTGCCTGATAACAATAAGTTACTTTATGAAAAATGCTTACATTTATATTTGTAATTTTTATTTAATATTAAATAACACTGCAAGGCAGTTGGTTTTACACTATTGGTGTGTTACAATAACTAATACTAACTAAAATGTACAGTTCTTAGTCAAATACTTTTAATACAATTTTAAATTATAAAATGATTTATACTATACTAAAAATGGTTAATCAATCTTAACTATTCTTAGTATTCCAATTTTCTTTAAAAAGTTTTTAATTTCTCTTAAAAGTTTATTTCTCATTCTGTGACTTATTTTGTATAGTTAAACAAAATACATGTTCTGTTTCTGATGTTATTTAATACAAATGATGTATTTTCAATAGCAGTTTTACTATAAAATATCTTATGTATTTGTACAAAAATATCTGTTTTGTAGTATCCATCTAATCAACAAAGCCATTTTTGAATTTTTTAAAACAAGCAGGTATAAGCAAAAATAATTTAATTCTGAAAGAATATTTCTGATTGTTTATATAACCTTGTGAAACTTTAAAGAAAAATCAAGAATATACAGTATATGATAAATTTTAAGTGAAATTCAAAAATTAATTTTATTTTAAATTATTTATATTATTATATTAAATTTAAGTATTTTAATTATTAACACTTAATTTTATGAAGTATATTACTTACTGTAAAATTAATTTGAGTTCCACCAAATATATAATCCAGAAAGGTATAATTTTTAATTACCTATAAAAATAATTATCAATTTTAGCTAAATAAAGCATTAAACAGAATGATGATAAAAATTTAAATAAATAACATTCCTAATTTAACGTTTTGCCTATTTAACCTACATGTCTATTTTTACAAATGACACAATAATGTATTTTACCTGATAACTCAAATTTTATCATAATTATAAATCTTTTTATTCCACAATAAAAATTTTAAATAATTAAAAAATAGCTATGTAGTATTAAATTTCATAGCTAATAGCTTCAAATTGCAAAAATAACTATTAAAATTATATGTAGCTTTTAGTTTTCTAAATAAACTAATTTTATGTTTTTTAGTAATTAATTAGAACCAAATTTGATATTTACACTAAATTAGACAACCCAGAAGAAAGTAAAACAAGATTTTGTTAATACAGTAGAGTCTCAAAAACTCGGCACTCGATAACCTGGCAGTCCAGATAACTCGGCCACACCCTGGCAGGACAAAAAAATCCTTAGTTAATTAATTTTCATTATAGACAGCTTTATGCCTCATAAAGTATTTTTCTGAGGTCTGTCTTATCTGGTAAATTACTGTACACAGTGTATTCATTAAGTTTCATTTTCATGTAGTAAAGGCTCTATGTCTTCATAAAGTACGTACTTTTCCTTTGTTTAAGGGTATTTGGGCAGTTTATTCTCTGTTGTATTCTCAAGTAAACAATACATAAAGTACAGTACAGTATTTTCTGAGGAAACACTCATACTTATTTTTTTTAACCCCATTTCCGACAACCCGGCATTTTCACAAACTCGGCCACCCTTCGGTCCACATTAGGCCATGTTTTCGAGACTCTACTGTATTTACATAAAATTTTTCTTGTTATTATTTTATTTATGTAATAATAAATACTGTTTTGAAATGCAATATACCTTACAAGATGATAAATATATTATTCCAGAATTTTTGTAAGAGGATCCTTTGTCTCTCTGTTTCTTTTTATTGATACAAGGCCATTCTAGCTACAAAAAAACATACAAAATTATCAGAATATTGCCTCTAATGTTAAATAACTTAGAATAAAAGTTAATCTATTAATTAAACATAAGAAGAAAAAGAGAAGTGATATTACTCTATTAACCAGGTTATTATCTATTAATTTAAAACTGTAGATTAATTAATTAAAAAGATTTTTCTCTAAATAAGAATTACTTAACAGAAATTTAGGACTATTTTTCAGCCAGAATGCACTGGTATATCGTACCTGCAGCTAGTACCAACTATTAATATTTTTAATGCTATGTACTAGTAGATGCTCAAAAAAAAAAAAATTCAATGTTCAAATTAGAAATGTGGTGACTAGTACAATAAAATTTAATGAAAAGAATTGGAATATTCTACAATGAATGACATGGATTCACTGAAGTTGACATAAAAAGCAAATGATGTGAAAATTCTCATTTCATCATAGACCATCTTTCAATGTACAAATAGTATTCTCTGATAATTGTCTGTTCCCACCAGTGGTGTGCTGTCTGTGGAAGCTGTGGAAGTGCTGCTTCCCTTGTATTTTCTAAAATATAAATATATATTGTGTGATTATTTTCATATTTTAACATACTTTGAAATAATTAAAATTAATATTTTATTATAACTGCATTATGTATCTTATTACAAATTTCTATACTACACATGAAAAACAATAATAAGATTGCTATTTTTGAATATAAATTTTTTATGCATATTCCCAATGAAAGTGCTGTATTGTCGAATATGGGGCAGCTTCTACAGCTATTTGAATGGTGTAAAGCAGCCAGATTACAGGCATTCACACATGCACTTTACAGAGCACTAACCTTGCAGTTTAGCTGGTGAATAATACACACCAAAATATCATATAATGCTTCTAATTATTCTATCCAGGGCTGGCACAGCTTCTCTATCATCAAATATCACCACATGCCACTGGTTCCCACTATGTTCTTGTCAAGAAACAAGAACATAGTAGATATGAAAAGTATTAATAATAATATTTTGAAAGGGAAAGGTAAAAATGTAGTTACAAAAATGACATTTTGCAACTGACACTAAATCTGAAATAAGAAGTAAGGAAAAAGTGTAGAAGAACTGTACAAACTATACAAAACCTTTGGAAAATATTATAAATGTTACAATATAATTTCTAAATGTATACAGATACAGTTATATTGTAAGAAAATAATAAATACTAAAAACTGCTTTTTAGTTATTGTTACATTTTTCCTGGAACAGAACTTTATTTTTAGTCACCTTATATGCATGTCGGCAGTAATTTTTTTTTTTTTAAAGTACTGTACATATATATTAAATTTGAGTTAATTATATAATACTTCCAATTTAATATCTATATATATATAAAATTATAAGTCCTGACTGACTGACTCATCATTGCCCAGAGCAAACCGCTGAACCTAAAGAGATGAAATTGGTATACAGTTAGGGTAAGTCATGAATATGCACATTAAGAAGGATTTTTTTGAAATTCTCCCCTGTGGGGGAGAGGGAAAGGATTAAGGCTTAACCTGAAGAACAGCTTCTACTGTACTATTTTAGATGCAATTTTTTGTTTTTAACTGCATTTTAGTAGGGTACACAATGAGACTGCACACTAAGAAGGGATTTTTGGAAATTCCTCCATGAGGAGAGGATTAAGGCTTAAGAAGTCTTAGCCCCAAAAGGCAGTACCACAAACGTGGCTTACAAAAGGTACTGGGGTAACTGAAACTCTATTTCTCTGTAAATATTTATACTTTAGAAATTTTCGGATAATATCATTTATGTTTTGAAAAAAAATAAACTCAGATTTATCATATCTCAGATCCCATGATATTTGAATTTAGGTGCCTTAGCAGTCCATAGTTTGAAACAAACAAAAATCAGTAATTTTACCAAATTAGTAACAACTAATGATTGAGAATCTTAGTGAAGTACTGAGGGAGGGTTATTTCTATCAGATTGCAAAATCTGCATGGGCAAAAGCTAGTTTTATATATAAGTCTTGAACTGAAATTTGAAATAACAAATTCATGAAGTTTCACTCAGTAATCTTATTTTTTAAAACGTTTGGGCTTAAATTTTCATTCTAAACCAATATACAAGTTTTCTAACAGAGAAAAAAAATACATGATCCATAAAAAAAACATCAATGAAGAAAAAATCATTTTCATATTCTTTATGAAGACATTTTCATGCCATGAAAATGAAGTCTTCTGTTAGTTTAAATCCTTGCTATCAAATTATATAAGCCTATAGTCTTCTTTCTGATGTGTAACAAAATCAATGGCTATCTTTTCTTTGCCATCTTATGTGCATTTAATCCATTTTGATAAAATGGATTAAATGCATATAAAATAAATTAAAACTGGATAACAAATTAATATACGTTCAATGCTCAATGTTTTATCTGAAGTGGATGATTACTTTCATAGTGAGAAGAAAGAGACTGGGCAGAGAACAAGGTTACAGAGAAGCCAGTAAATAATGTGTAGTGAAAATATTTAGAGTATAGGGTGTTAGAATCTGTATTATACTTCCATCACAATGCTTTTGGTATCCATTAAGATAAGCTGGAAGGCTCAAACATATAGATTTAATAAAGATATTTCATTTTTCATCTCTAAAAAAAGCAGAAAATATTAAGGTCATTGTAGAGACATATCATTTAATGTATATAAAATTATTACAAAATAAAATCATATAAAATTTAATGTTATGAATACTTATTATAACCCTTTTATGATTTGTTTATTTTTTGCTTTGTTCTGTATAAAATTTCTGTGTAAAAATGAATAAATAATTATTTTTCATCAATATTTATGTCTGTAATATTTTCGTACATATTAATTTAATTACAAAAATATTAATTTAGATGCCTTAAAATATCATTGAAAATCTAGTTTAAAGTTTATTCTTGCAAATTTTATTATTAAAAAGCAGAATCTGTTGATTTACTAGTCATATATTTTTAAAATCTATCAATTTTAAATCTAACTTGAATTTCAAATATTGTATTGTTTTCTGTAGCTTGTAGATTGTACAAGTGAGAGGTAAAGTCAAAAGTATTTCAACCTAAAAGATTCCTAGTGCTCTACAAGAATTACTTTTGAAGTTCAATCTCTTCGAAAAAAAGATTACACAAAGATTCAAAAAGATTGAAAATACAAGTTATACAATTGTATTTTCAATTGTATAACTTGATGACTATTATATAACTAGATAAACTGGAAAACATCACTAGAAATCAAAAAAGAACCCAGATGAACAAATCTACCTGAACAAAGGGTCTGCACATTCACAGAGGACTCTCTTCAGCAAGTTGCAAAAGCAACAAAAGGCTGAGAAGGAAAGTTTCATTGGCACAAATTTTTACAAAAGTGAACAAAACCAGCCACATTTCTAACCAAAAAGTGAACATAATTCTTGCAAAAAGTTAGAAAGTCTGTAATTTGCACAGAGATCTAACAAGACAAAAGTATCTTACTCTGCTTTATCTAAGTGCTTTAAATGACTGAAAATAGTCGTCTTTAACAGTTCTATAAAAAGAACTGTAAGAAATTCTTAAAGCTTGTTCAAGCCAAATAAAGAGAGAGGAAGCTATTTGGCCAATAGATCAACATTTAGATTTCCAGCAATTCTTTCATGTTCTGGCATCCACAAAAGAAAAACTCCATTATAGAGCAGCCAGTTCAGTGAGATGCAAACGGCACTCCCAGAAAACTGCTAAAAGTGTATTGACAAGGGTTAAGTGCCTTCAAAACTGTCTGACAAGGTACCCTAGGCCACCAAATGAAGGCAGCATAGAATTTAGGTTGAACTACTGACAACCAGAATGGGGCCCAGGATCTCCTTTGTAATGAAAAAGTTAATAAAAATGCTAAATGTAATCAAATTATAAAAGTAATATTAAAAGTAATCAAATTATGGAGTTAAGTATTGACTTAGTAATTTATTTATATTTTCTATAATCCATATTTAAGTATTTAAAGCAAAATTTTATTAAAATATGAAGTAATTTATATTAAATTTTAACTTGGGCATCCTTTACATTGAATCTAGTTACTCTAGTGTGTTGAACCACCGTAGTAAAACTCCAAAATGGAATATAAAATTACAGACCTGATTGTATTTACTGATTTATAAAATTCTATTTAATTATTTCTTACCTGATGATGTTGTGCTTCCAATATTTGAGCCAAAGATGTGCTACATTGACCAATTATAGCATGCTCTCCATCACTTTCATAATCATAACAATATATCTATAAAAATATATATTTGAATTAATAATATTTTAAACTTAACGTCTTTAAATTTCATTGTGAAGAATTGACAAAAGTAGAGATTTTATTTCTATAAATTAAGTATCCTATGCTGTCCTTCAGAACATAATTGATACATGATAATACATTTTAAATAACATGCTCATTTGATCATTACTAAATAATAGAATGTTGTGTGGTCACTATGGAAAATATTTTTATGCTATAGAAGTGACACAATGCAGCTATTTTTTTTTTTTAATTTAATATTTAAATTTAATACAGTAATTTTAAAATTACATTTGTCAAAATATTTAGAAATTCAACTTAAGATAAATTATGCCAGTGATAACTACAACATAAGTAATGTCACTGCAATATAAATGACATTACTAAGCTGAAATTGATGAAAAAACTTTTTATTTTAATAGCTAATAACTAATATTTCCACAAATTAAGCAGCCTATACGTTCTGTCAGAACATAAAAAGAATATAACCAAAATTTCACCTGGAATGGACAAAAATAGCAAAAGTTATAGGGAATTCACAAACACACACATACACAAACAAAGACTTTTATATTATTATTAAATATACCTCATACACATACACACATTAAATGTGTTATAAATGGCAATATATATTCAATAAATAAAATTTATACTTTGTAACATTTATTTATGTTCAATTTCAATTTTTAAACTATACAACTCTAATTATATTTTCCTTCAGTATTTTATTCAGTATGTAAAAAAAAATAAAACAAAATCTCATGTACATTCATTTTTATAATATAATCATGTGAAAAAAAAAACAGAGATAGTTTGTGAAACTTTAAACAATTTCCAAATTAAAAAATGCTTAAATATTACATCTTAAAGAAAATTTTTAAAAATATTTATTTCACATAAAATTTAATTTTTTGTACAAATAAAATTAATTGAGTTAAGAAATCTATTTATTTTGATTAAAAACTTACTAAAATTCCTGTTTCTGGGTTATTTCCTCCAAGGTTTTGCATTTTTATTGTAAAAGGTCTCCATATAGGATTCAAATTATTTTTTATAACCTATTAAAATTATTTATATCATTGATTATTGTTATTAAGATATTTGCAAAAATTGATATTAACATAGCTGTAAAAATTTTAAATAAGAATTCATAACACAATGATATCATCAATAAAAGTCTAAATTACATGATTCATTTATCACCACTTTGATATAAACAAACATATCAATGAAAATAAAACATATTCTTATGAAGTTGTTAAAGTCATTAATCTAACAGAAACCTATTATATAAATAATATATAAAAATACAGTAAGCAACTATGTACAGGTATTCCTCATACAACAAGGCATTTCTACAACATGGTTTGAAAATATTGAAATTGTCCATACAAAATTTCATAATTTTTAAGTGCAAACTCTATTATTTGATGTTTTCTTATTCATGTGTGCATGCGTGTCATATCAAATTTGCCTACAGATTTGACAATATTGAAATTTTCAAATTGTTTTGTGCCTTTTGTCATGTTTACTTTAATGAAAACTGATAGTAGAATTTTTTCTTCTTTGTCTTAGCTTTCCTAACAAACAGGTATTGTTGACATTGCTTTCAGACATCAGCAATTAAGACTGTCATAATGATTTCATTTTATAGATTAATCTTCTTATTTAATAGTTTATTTAAACATTTTAAGGTAAATGTTATTAAAATTTTTTAACAGTATGTAAGTAATCATTTGTAAAAATAATGAATGAAATATGGTGGTATCTTGGTACTCGAACTGTTCCCAACTCAAACAATTTGGTATTCGAACACAAATTCTGGAGAAAAATCACTTTGTACTTGACTGAACAAATGAGGGCTCCCTAGAACAAATTTTTGATTAATAACATATTCTTATTTTGTCATCTATAAAAATTTTTTATAATAAAAATAAGAAAAATGAAGATGTTTCTGATACTTTGTAAAAAGAAAACACTGTCATTTAATTCAAATTAATATTAACGTATAATACAGTACATTTAATTGTGATTGTTAGTTAATTAAAGATTGCTTTAATGAACATATTTCTCTTAGTAATGATAAAGAATAGTATACTTTTGTTAACTTTTGGAACCTAACCCTATGTTTTGTATAGCACAAATCAGCATAACATGGCACTTTTTCGGATCATAACTACCATATTTTATGAGGGATACCTGTATGTTGAGGACTGAGAAGGTATTGAAGCATTGGAATAATAGTAATTCTGCTTTCCACAATATCAAAACTATTATAGTACAAAAAATTTTATTTTTAAGTTTCAATTGTCTATTTTCATTCCTTGTACACAACTATTTAGACTAAGACAGCTCTATCTAGATGGGTATGCACATCTGCCTTTTTTGCTACAGTTTTCATTACCAGCTTAACTCCAACATACTGTATGAGAACCAATAAGAACAATGTAATTGTATGGGTTCTTATGATAGTTAAAATATTGTCATAAGATATTATACCTTGTATATTTAAAATTATTAAGTAAAGCTATTTGTGCAATTTAAATAAGGGGCTGCTTAGTTATGGTACCCATGAACTGTGACATTAGTATTAGCAAAATTGTAATAAAATTTGTTATATTTTGTTTTATTATTATTAATTTTTTTGTTTTATGTAAAAGTAAAGAATTTAATATTTCAAGCTAAAATAAGCAGTTTATATTAAAAATTTCTTTTTATAAGAATAGTTCTCAACAGATTAGTCATAGATTCAAAAAAGAAGAAATAAAATTAATTGGAGCAATAAAAAAGCTCTCTTTCTAAGGAAACAAAGGGTCTATTGAAACTGTATGCAAATTCTATTGATTATCAAACAATCTTAATTAATGTAGAATTATGTTTTTCTCACTTCACTTACATAGCAGGAACTGAAAAAGCTTTGGCGAATAATTCCAATATTGCTGGATCTAATAAGAGTGTAAGTGATCTGAGAGAAGTTATGCTTCCTCAAATACTGATCAAAAGCTTTTTTCAAATGCAGGAAAACTGATCAAGATTTACCTTGCTATATCCTGCAATATAGTTTTGGCCAAAAGAACTCTTGTTTTGAACACCTGAAAACTTGCTTAAGGAAGACAAATGTGTCAGGAAAGATTGCAATCTGCTGTATTCAAAGTTGCAATCTTGCTGCACTCACAATTGATAAAGAACAATGTATAAATATTTATCTTATAATGAAGAAATTTGCTAAAAAAAAGCAGGAAACTTACATTAATATGTCTTATCAGTAGTTTACAGATAAACCTTTATGAATTTTAAGAATTTTATGATTTTATCATCTACAATCAAAAGGCATTGCAAGCTGCTCATAGTGTAAAAAAATATAACTTTAAATAAAAAATATTAGATTTTCATTGTTTTTTTTTATTTCACCTTCTGGACAGTGCTCTCGAATACAGCACCCTACCTGGCAGGAAATTAAAAAATACAGTACAAAAACCATATATATTAAACCTACGCTATTTAAACCCCATAACCTAAGCATTTTAAACCTCATAACCCAGGGGACAGTTAATTTATTTATTGTTTATGTAAAAACTGTTTTTATGGATTCCAAAAAGATATTTTGCAATTTATTTTACATAAACAATAAATTAATTAATTACATAATTAACTGTCCCCGGGTTATAGGGTTTAAAAGCTTAGGTTATTGGATTTCTGACCTACTGGTATCTAAAAGTAAAATGTTTCTAAGAAACCTTCCTTAAGCTGAAATGACAGAAGTGAAAAATAATTGCTATTATTTTATATGGGAAAAATTATTCAGTGTTCATAGATCCAAAATTAACCTACCTAATCATACAAAATATATACTATAGGCTTTTTGCACCTTAGGACACATTTTGCTAACAGATTTGCTAAAATAAATCAAAATAAAGCTCAGATGCTCACAGACATGGTTTAAAGCAGGCCTGACCAACCCAAATTGTTTTGTGGGCCACTTTGATCACACGTAACATTACAGTGGGCCACAATTTAGGCAAACATGCTTTTAAAAAGTAAAACAAATACAAAATGAATAAGATTTTATTGTTATACCAAGAATTCGTACTTACACTTGTGCATCATAAAAATGACATATGCAAATTTTCATTTATTTAATTGTTTTAGTATACACATAACGGAAAACAAAAGTTTTAATAGATATATAATATCACTTAGCAGGACACACAATTTAATGTGACGGGCCGCGGGTTGGTCAGGCCTGGTTTAAAGCTATGTGGCTAGATGCTGACATGCTAAGTGTAGTTTTCAGGGAAAAAGCTTGGAGTTACCACTTGCTGCTCAAGATGCACACTTTCTCTAAAACAGTTTGTTGCAAAACAAACAATAAATGCAATTTTTGCTTTTTGCCTTTATCATGAAAGCAAAAATCCTCTTTGAATTTCTTTTGGTTAGTGAAAACAGTTAAGGAACATTAATCCGAAATCAGTTTGTCCTTTAATTTCCACAATTTTGTGTGCTGAGAAAACAGTGTACCCATAATGTCTGGACTTAAATGCCTTTACACACCATACATCTGGATTAGTTTGTACAAGCCTAATAGGCAATGGCGTAGCTAGCACGGGCGTCACCCAGTGCGGATATCATGGTGTTACCCCAAGAATGAAAACTCTTAAAATTAATAAAAATCCGATAAACGTAAAGTATGATTTTATTTAATTAATACAAATAAGAGTCATTAATTATCAAGTTACAATATTATGATAATAATAGTACAGTTTTATTAAACATTCTTTCACATTGATGTATGAAAATGAAAGTTGGGTTTGGCAAAAGAAGAATGAGAGTAGAATTAATATACTCTCATATACTGTACATATTATGTACAAAACTTAAAAACTCTTCTTTCTAACTTTAACAGCTGCAAACTCAGAAATCCCTTCTTCAAAATTTATATTTTGTGTTGACTTGTGTTCTATTGTTAATATGCCAAGATTGTTAAGTCTCATTTGGATCATTGTTGCCCACAAGTAATTTTTAATTAATTTTAGTTTGCTGAAACTCCTCTCACATGAAGCAATTGATATGCAAATTGTCAGAAATAACTTTAGTGCAACAATAAGATTCGGAAGAGATTCTATAAAACTAAATTATTTAATATAGATAACTTGGTTAAAATGGCTTCAGGCCTAAGTGATTTATCGTTGAAAAACATTGTAATGGTATGGTCGGGTGTCACCCCTAAATGGGTGACATCCAGTGCGGGCCACCCCGCCACCTCCCCTAGTTACACCACTGCTAATAGGCCTAGCCAATATCTATTTATAGTTAGAATCTTAATTTCTGAGTGCTATCTTGCTACTAAAAAATCTATATCAAAAGTTTTGCAATATCAATATAAATCATACTTATAATTGTAATAAAGACTGATCATTAATAGAATTTATAAATCAAGATACATTATCTCTCACTTTTTATATTAGGATTATTTTCTAAAGCTATTTTCTATCTATAATTTCGTTTTTTTTTTTATATACTTTAAATGCAAGAGAATCATTGAAATGTAAATCATTATCATAAATAAATGATTTGTTCTTCATTTAAATAGAGAAAAAATTTAATTTTAATTAAATACAGAAATTTTATATAAAATAACAAAGTAATTGTCATATAGAATAAAACTAGTGCGACTTATAAATGTTTATTCTATTTTGTAATTAAATTATAAATGCATATTGAATATTGAAAAGTCTATATGCTTTACTACTATATAAATAATAAGATTAATTTAGATTTATAGTGAATTAGACTAAATATTTTTATGATTTATAACTTAATACGAATAAATTAATATGAATAAAATTAAGAATTTTGCAACGAATTGATGCAAAATCATTAAACAACAATGGCAAATAGCGTTTAAAAAATATTTCAGAAAGCTTTTAAATTTTTCGTTACATGTTCGAAACAATTGTTTTAATAGTCTACTTAAAAGAAATGTTTCATCAAATGTTTACTTTCTGGCAGATTTAACAAAATTAAATTTTCATTAAATTTCTTACAAAATTGAATTTGTATTTACGATTATAAACAGTTACATATATTCATTTAATATAAGCAAGCATTATTCAATATTTATTAAGTCTACATATTAATTTAAGCTACTTACCACAATAAAATATTTCATTGGCCGGTTTGCTATGAAAATTATATATTGAAGAGAAAACAATGATGTTTTCTCTCTTCATTAGTATTGTTATTATTTGGAATTTTGTAAATTAGATTGCTAGTTTTAAATAATAATTAAGGATAATAACCAAAAAGTACTGATATAAATCTTTCATAAAAGGAAACTGGTGTAAAGTCAATTTTTGCAAAGGAGGGGCTACCTATACCTATATCATTGTACAATTATTATTTACTATAAAATTGTCTACATTATTCTTTTGTGATTATTCAGCTTAAAGTTGATAACAAATGTAAATAATAATAATAATTATATAAAAACGATTCAAACTGACATTTTCAACTATTATGTAAGAAGTGATTTTTAAACATTAGACAAAATAACAATTAAAATCTGACCTCTGTTCGATGCACAACTGTCCAATTACCATCACTTTCTTGCTTACGAAATTCCAAAAATGGATCAGATTTACTGAAAAATTCCTTTAAAATATATTAAAGTATTTTATTTAAACAATAATGTTTTGAATTTTTATACAAGAGAAAAAATTTACTAACCTTATTATCAAGCTTTTTAGCATGAAAAGCAAGTAAAAGAAGATCATTTCCTCCTTTTCCAATTTCTTGTGCTCTGATCTAATAAAAACACATCACTTGCATTATTCTATTATTTTAATGCAATTTTTTAATTTTCTGACTCATCAATCCCCATAAAAATATACAAAAAGTTTTCAATATAATTATAAAGAATAAATATGACAAAGCTACTTTGATTTGAAAAAAATTTAGTAAAATAATAAAAATAGATTTTTAGAAACTATTAAAATATAAAACACTTTCAAAATACATTTATATGCTGATTTAGGATTTAATAATACAAACAGTTTTAAGTTTAAGACAATTAACTTGCATGATATTTATTATAATGATTAAACTTCTAGAAAAAATTACCATCATCCTTTCTCAAAGTGGGTGATAACACCCCCTTGTGGGCACTGGAGGCTTTCAGGGGGGCAGTAGAAGGCTCAGTGATTAAATATGAGTTTTATTTCTTCTCATTGAAACATTCTTTGATCTCAGAAATAGGATATGGGTCACACGCTATCTATCCTATCCATATAATAATGCATGTTTAAACATTATATTTGCAATAACTGTTTTTAAGATACACAACAGATGGTAATGTAAAAAGGTAAGTTAAAAAATATGGGGCACTAGATTTTTTTAATCTCAAAGTGGGTGGTGGTCGAAATAAGTTTGAGAATATTATATAAAATTTTGTAGACCTAATTTATAGTATTATATATATGAAATTCACTGAATACATCAAATTTATAAATACAATAAGCCTAACTACTGTAAGAAGCAAAAATCTTACAAAAAAAAAAAAAAATGAAATATTTAAATTAATCTGAGTGATTACTAAATAATTTGATTATTGTTATTTTATTATTCAACACAGGTAATTTTGGTAATGCAAGTGAGACTCATGGGACCAGCAGACCTGAAATGTGTCTCACTTCAGGGAATAAGCTATATATAAGCAATACCTCATAAATCTATCAATTTAGAGATATATTATAGTTTATATCAAATTGTTTAAACTTTGACTAGAGCAGCTACTAGAATAATTTGATTAACTTTAATTAATACAATATCATTCATTCAAAACATTCAGTTGAATAATATAAACTTTAATAATATTATTGCTAATTAACATAAATATTCTACCACTTTTACTTTTTTATCAAAATAATTGTTTTCTAAATAGTAAGAAATAATTCCAACTTCTTTAAAAATTTAATATTTTTAATAATACTTTCTCTGATTCATAGACTATAATAGTGTATTAATATTTTTATATAATTTTATTTAATCATATATGTACCCTACATACGGGGTGCATCATGAATAACTAACTGTCCATACGAGAGCAATGGTGAGAAGTTTAAGTGAGTAGAGACTCAGATTTTTGCATAAGTAGAGGAAATGTAGCAGTTAATTCATTAATGCCAGAATTTAGTATTGACAATTGAGAAAATGAAACCAAGTTAATTAAAGGGTAAAACAAATGACAAGAACTTAATACACCCTTGCTCACATTTCTCTCCTATTCATGGTGTATTCTGTGTAATTGTATACTGTGCATATATACATAACGTATTTCCTTGATTAAACCCTGGAGGAGTTTATTTTTAAAATGTATCCCTCAGGATTTAATCGAAGGCCTAGAGTTTTTTCCAAGGCCTGGACATCACACTAGAAACTTTACAACAGGAGATGAGCAAACATTGAAAGAAACACCTGAATTATGTTTTGAACTATCAAAACTATTTCTTGACTATATGTATGAGTTATAGGTACTGTACAATATTTGAAATAATTATTGTTTTCATAGTTAACCCAATTCAGTCATTATATTGTAATTCAGATCTACTGTGATGCCCAGTAATATAACCAAATCTGATATAAAGGGAGACCCAAATAAAAATTTTATATGAATCACTACACATTTTAATACTTTCGTAATGGATTAAAAAACTACAAAGTTAATAATTTATATATATTTAACTTAACAATTAAATTATTCTACAGGGTGTCCACAAAGTCTGGGTACATAAGGATTAACTCTCTTCATTAGTATTGTTATTATTTGGAATTTTGTAAATTAAGTTTCTAATCTTAAATAATAATTAAGGATAATAACCAAAAAGTACTGATATAAATCTTTCATAAAAGGAAACTGGTGTAAAGTCAATTTTTGCAAAGGAGGGGCTACCTATACCTATATCATTGTACAATTATTATTTACTATAAAATTGTCTACATTATTCTTTTGTGATTATTCAGCTTAAAGTTGATAACAAATGTAAATAATAATAATAATTATATAAAAACGATTCAAACTGACATTTTCAACTATTATGTAAGAAGTGATTTTTAAACATTAGACAAAATAACAATTAAAATCTGACCTCTGTTCGATGCACAACTGTCCAATTACCATCACTTTCTTGCTTACGAAATTCCAAAAATGGATCAGATTTACTGAAAAATTCCTTTAAAATATATTAAAGTATTTTATTTAAACAATAATGTTTTGAATTTTTATACAAGAGAAAAAATTTACTAACCTTATTATCAAGCTTTTTAGCATGAAAAGCAAGTAAAAGAAGATCATTTCCTCCTTTTCCAATTTCTTGTGCTCTGATCTAATAAAAACACATCACTTGCATTATTCTATTATTTTAATGCAATTTTTTAATTTTCTGACTCATCAATCCCCATAAAAATATACAAAAAGTTTTCAATATAATTATAAAGAATAAATATGACAAAGCTACTTTGATTTGAAAAAAATTTAGTAAAATAATAAAAATAGATTTTTAGAAACTATTAAAATATAAAACACTTTCAAAATACATTTATATGCTGATTTAGGATTTAATAATACAAACAGTTTTAAGTTTAAGACAATTAACTTGCATGATATTTATTATAATGATTAAACTTCTAGAAAAAATTACCATCATCCTTTCTCAAAGTGGGTGATAACACCCCCTTCTGGGCACTGGAGGCTTTCAGGGGGGCAGTAGAAGGCTCAGTGATTAAATATGAGTTTTATTTCTTCTCATTGAAACATTCTTTGATCTCAGAAATAGGATATGGGTCACACGCTATCTATCCTATCCATATAATAATGCATGTTTAAACATTATATTTGCAATAACTGTTTTTAAGATACACAACAGATGGTAATGTAAAAAGGTAAGTTAAAAAATATGGGGCACTAGATTTTTTTAATCTCAAAGTGGGTGGTGGTCGAAATAAGTTTGAGAATATTATATAAAATTTTGTAGACCTAATTTATAGTATTATATATATGAAATTCACTGAATACATCAAATTTATAAATACAATAAGCCTAACTACTGTAAGAAGCAAAAATCTTACAAAAAAAAAAAAAAATGAAATATTTAAATTAATCTGAGTGATTACTAAATAATTTGATTATTGTTATTTTATTATTCAACACAGGTAATTTTGGTAATGCAAGTGAGACTCATGGGACCAGCAGACCTGAAATGTGTCTCACTTCAGGGAATAAGCTATATATAAGCAATACCTCATAAATCTATCAATTTAGAGATATATTATAGTTTATATCAAATTGTTTAAACTTTGACTAGAGCAGCTACTAGAATAATTTGATTAACTTTAATTAATACAATATCATTCATTCAAAACATTCAGTTGAATAATATAAACTTTAATAATATTATTGCTAATTAACATAAATATTCTACCACTTTTACTTTTTTATCAAAATAATTGTTTTCTAAATAGTAAGAAATAATTCCAACTTCTTTAAAAATTTAATATTTTTAATAATACTTTCTCTGATTCATAGACTATAATAGTGTATTAATATTTTTATATAATTTTATTTAATCATATATGTACCCTACATACGGGGTGCATCATGAATAACTAACTGTCCATACGAGAGCAATGGTGAGAAGTTTNTTAATTTATATTAATATGTATCACTTAAGAAAATTTTAATAAAGATATTTATCTTAATTATGAAAATATAATAGCATGTTTTCTAATTTTTGGAACCTAACCCTCCTTTTCGTACTAGTTCTTTGTTTCGTATAACACGGATTCACATAACACGGCAATTTTTTGGAACGTAACTACTGTGTTATACGCAGGCCCACCATAAGCGGGTGTGCAAGGCGTGCACCGCATGCGGGCAGCACGTCCAGGGGGCGGCAAATGAAGCGATCGGTCATGTAATATTCAAAGTCATTGTCATAATACCCACCCTACTTGTAGCATAAGAAATGTCTTCGCATAGAGAAAAAAAATCCGACCGGCACGCAATTACTATATTCTTATTTATATTGTAGCGTTAACAGCGCTTCTCTATTGGCATTTATCAGAATTAAGATACAATGCGAAACGTCTGTCGGCAGGTTGAGCCATCCGGCGGCGTCCGAAAGCCAAGTACCCATAGTCGTGCTTTATGACAGAAGTTGGCAGGACTGGCGAAAATAGGGAATCCCCACAGAGCTTCCTTCTCAATTTGTACTTGTACGCATTCGAACAGTTCTATCGCATATCAAATTGCAATTATTTTGTTAATAATTCTTCTGACATGAGTCTAAGTNTTGGTACCATCCCTGTATAACACGGTACTGTTATTACACAGATTCACTCTGACATGTTTCGAGAATTGGGTAAAACCCTCATACAACATGAAATGTAATAAATTTTTACATACTTAAGTAATAACTATTATCACTTAAGTATGTAAGTAAGTATTGATAGTTCACGAAAATAATAATTTTCGTGAACTATCAATACTTATGTATGTAAATTTTCTTTTCTCGCCTTCTGTCGATACACATGGTCCTTCTAGAAACTTGTTTCAATGTTGCCAGATTGCGACGCTTCTGCTTCTGATGTTGCTAGATGTTTTTCCCTTATTCCATACTTGCTTTATTCTTCATAAGTGCTTTGCACCATATAAGGAAATTTATAAAGATCTTTTAACGAGAAGCAAGCAATCTAAAATTACATACTTTTTGCGAAAGGTAAAGCATGGATCTGAAGATAATGCAGAAAAATGCTCAGAGGATAAGGATAACTTGCCAAAAAGAAAACGCTCTTGGTTAATAGTGCTTTTAGTGATGATGAAGAAAACATTGTTTAATTTATATTAATTAATTAATTAATTAATCATATATGTACCCTACATACGGGGTGCATCATGAATAACTAACTGTCCATACGAGAGCAATGGTGAGAAGTTTAAGTGAGTAGAGACTCAGATTTTTGCATAAGTAGAGGAAATGTAGCAGTTAATTCATTAATGCCAGAATTTAGTATTGACAATTGAGAAAATGAAACCAAGTTAATTAAAGGGTAAAACAAATGACAAGAACTTAATACACCCTTGCTCACATTTCTCTCCTATTCATGGTGTATTCTGTGTAATTGTATACTGTGCATATATACATAACGTATTTCCTTGATTAAACCCTGGAGGAGTTTATTTTTAAAATGTATCCCTCAGGATTTAATCGAAGGCCTAGAGTTTTTTCCAAGGCCTGGACATCACACTAGAAACTTTACAACAGGAGATGAGCAAACATTGAAAGAAACACCTGAATTATGTTTTGAACTATCAAAACTATTTCTTGACTATATGTATGAGTTATAGGTACTGTACAATATTTGAAATAATTATTGTTTTCATAGTTAACCCAATTCAGTCATTATATTGTAATTCAGATCTACTGTGATGCCCAGTAATATAACCAAATCTGATATAAAGGGAGACCCAAATAAAAATTTTATATGAATCACTACACATTTTAATACTTTCGTAATGGATTAAAAAACTACAAAGTTAATAATTTATATATATTTAACTTAACAATTAAATTATTCTACAGGGTGTCCACAAAGTCTGGGTACATAAGGATTAACACATACTTTTAAAACAAAATAATTTTATTTGATTCTAATACAGTATTAATAAATAACATTTTGAATATGATTTCCATCATTTTCAATACATAATTTGATGTGCCTTGCAAAATTCAGGTGAACTCGATTAAATAGGTCTGTACTGCCATCAATTTCAGCACACTGACTGGTAATGGTGTCCACGAATTATGGCACATCAAATTATGTATTGAAAATGATGGAAATCATATTGAAAATGTTATGTATTAATATTAGAATCAAATAAAATTGTTTTGTTTTAAAAGTATGTGTTACTCCTTATGTACCCAGACTTTGTGGAAACCCTGTACATATATTTAGCATTTTTATTAACTTTTTCATTACAAAGGGGATCTGGGCCCCAACTACTCACTGATTACACTATCAGAATCAAAATCTTAACTACTTTTTTCTGGTTCACACTTACCATCTCTTTCCAATTTGAGTTTTCTTAATTACCCTTTGACTGATAACCTCTTGACTTATGAACTCAAACTTGACTTTCCCACATTCAATATTTGACAACATAATTTTATTGTCAAAAATATTCCTATGGAACAGAAAGTGCTGTCTGACTAGATAATTTGAAGAGGTAGAATTTTAGTTAAATTCTTTACTTGTCACTCTAAACTACATTACCCCATACAGCACAGTACTTCAGAGTTTCCCATGCTTTTCAATCCAGAATTTATTTTTAACAAATTTTTAATTTTCCAAGTTTATTGAAAGACTGGGTGTATTTGAATGCCAGGGTGTAATTCAAAAAATAAGATATATTATAAAATAAATAAACTANATATAAAATACACATATTTTATATATATATATAATACACATATAGAAGTAATGTTTTGTTTGTTCTCAAAATCTGTTCAATCGATTTTGATAAAACTTTGCCATTTTTTATTAATTACTATGAATAATCCAAAAATGAAATAAAGAATGTGAGTCCATGACTTGTTTTTAAGATACAAGGTCCTAACAAGAGTCACTAGCCCATCTTCTATGTGGTTTACAGAATTGAGTTTGTTCTCAAATTTGATGGGCCAATTTTGATAAAACTTTATCATTTTATATTGATTGTGACGAAGAATCCAGAAATGTAATAAATGTAAATGTAGAAAATAGGGATCCATGATTTCGTTTTTGATATAAAGTGGGATCAAAGTGACAATGTCTGTGGTCCTATAGCATGCCTAATGGTATTTAGGGGTAAAAAAACAGCATTGCATGCACCTAACAGAAAACAGACACAAAAAATGAACAGAATACAGCAAAGCAATTGGCATTGATTGCTTTTAGTTTTGGTTTTATTTGTATACTGCAATGTAACATGTGGGAGATCTGCCAAAGGAAATGCCTCTCAGGTGGTCTTTTAAGGGAAACTGGCCCCTATTTAGGTGTTACTAAGATGAAGAAAATGTTGGAAAACTCTACATAGCCGGGCATAAACTCACAACCAACTACCAATGTACAGTGGTTTTATCCACTTAGCCACTGGTGGACATCAGCATTGATTACTTTGTTCTTGGATCGCCTCTCTTGTAACCAGCAGATGCAAAGATAGCCTCTTTCATGGTGGCAAGTGCAAACTTTGCCTGTCCATGACTGTCAGGTACAAGGATTGCCTTTTATGTGTCTAACAAGTGCAAGGATTGCTTCTTTCTTTCTGGCTCTTCTGTCTCATTTCTAT